GCCAGCGGGCCCTTGCTGGCAACCCTCGTCCTCCGCGGCGATGCCACCTCGCAATCACTCCTTGGCTGGGGTACAATGATGTCCTCCGCCGGCCACGACTCCTCCCCCTTCGACACCCGTATTGCGGCCGCCGCCTCCCTCGCCTCCTTCTTCTCCGTCGTCTCCGCCCCAGACGCAGACGCATCCCGCCTGCCCGCCCTGGTCGCTCTCTATGACGCGCTCAACGACGACGATGACGAGGTCCGCGACATGGCGTGCCTCTCAGCAAAGCATATCCTTTCGCAGTCCCTGGCGCCCCTCGACGCAGCGGACAGGCTGCTCAGCCACATGTCGGCAAACTACGCCTCGGCGCCGTCCTTCCACGTGTTGGTTAGCTCCCGCATGACGGGCCAGACAACCGCCGAGTCCCAGCTGACAGAGGCTCTCCGCTTCGACGACTCCCTCTTCGCGATTGAAGAGCAGAACCTCTTCGTCGACGAAGTCCGCGAGTCGCGCCGCTGGGCAGCCGTCTTCGAGACCGTCGCCGGCGGCACGGACAACGAGCAGCTGGCGCAATGGACCTCGGACGGTCTCGCTGCCCTGCTGAAGCTTGCCAAGGAGGAGCACACCGACGACGGACCCCTGGGCTGGGCTTCTGTGCCCGACGTGTACGCCGTCTGCGCGAGAATCATCGCATGTGCTGCGGCGCTTGTCAAGACGGGTGTGCAGGTCGAGGGGTTGAGAGACAAGTTGGTCGAGTTGAAGACCGTGGGTGAGAAGGGACGACTTCACGGTCTCCTGATGGAGATGGCTACATTGTAGAGAGAGGCAGATATATACCAACAACTTGGATGTAGATTTGATAGACAAAAGTTTGCTTAGACTTCGTGTACAATGTTTTCGAAATTCCAGTTCAAGGAGAGGCTTGGAAAAAGGAAGGCTAAGACGCCCCAACGCCATCCAGATGCTTGTGAGTATGAACAACAAAAGTCATGTATCATCCCCCTTTTGCGTGGCATGCGGGGTATCCAGTCCCCGCGGCTCACGTATGTCTTGCATCTCCTAGCTCGAGACACTCTGGGTGGTCAACTTCTCCCCCGACGTGCTCCACGCCGCCGAATCCTCCCTCTTCAGCCCACCCAGGCGGCCCATCTTGGCCACAAGCATAGTGTTCTGGCTCTGCAGGTCTCCAATCTGCCCCTTGAGTACCTCAATCTGCTTCAGCGCGAGGTCACGCTCCGTCTTGACCCGCTCGAGCTCCATGGCCATGTTACCCTTCTCCTCCTTCTCGGCTTGCTTGCGCCTCCTCTCCTCCGCCTTGCGTTCCTCATTCTCGCGTCGCTCCTCGAGTCTCTTGAGCTCGCGGCGGTACTTTTCTTCCTGTTTAGCAATCTCCTTGTCATGTTTCTCCCGCAACTTGGCCTGCTGGGCGGCATCGCGTTGCGTGTCTTCTGCGCGCTTGGTGGACATGCGCTCTTGCATCTTATTAATCTTGTCCTGCATCTTCTTCCGGCGTTCCTGGAGCTTTTTGAGCTCCCTATCGTGATGCGAAGTCGTCGACTTGTGCAAGGAGTTCGCGCCAGAGCCGGACGAGTGCAGAGACATGGTGTCTTGGTGGGTAACGTCCGGAGGCGTGAGGGCCTCGCCCTCGTCCGTCTTCTCGACGGCCGACGCGAAGCTGCGGATGGACGAGGTGTCGCTCTCGTTTGTCTCTTCGTCGCGCTCGTCTTCCTCAGCTATCGAGCCGTTGGTGCTTGGCGCCTGGAACATGCCGGGCAGGCCGTTAGGGAGCCGACTTGCCACTGCAGACCCTGCCAGTCCGAAGGCCCCTGAGATAATACCATAGAGGCCGTTGCTACTTGGCGGGACAGTCTCATCCTGTGCCGACGGATCTGGTACGAGATTGGACGTGGGCTCCTTAGCGACCTCCATTGGTGATGCGACTTTTTCAGCCTCCGCTTGCTTGGCACTCTCCTTTGTCTCCTCCTGCTCCGTGTCTGACGCCGTGAAATCGTCTGCAGCCTTGGCGGTCATCCACTTAATGAATTTGCCTGCATCGCCGATGATACCACCAGGCGTGCCGCGATCGATCAAGAACCGAGGCACGTTTCCGCCAGGGTCACTGCGAGTTACCATCAACCACTCAACCGTCGTTGAAGCTTCCTCGTCAATGCCTTCCGCGCTGTGCCCGGCGTCATCTCTCGCCGGTGCACTGTCGACAGAAGTTCCGCGCTGTCGTCCGCCTTCGGGGTCAGCAGCCTTCTTGGCCGCCCGCAGAACAGCCTCTCTGCCCATGGATTCGGCGACTGCTTGCCTTTCCTTCGGACCGTCGTGGCTCAGATCGATCGATGACTTTGCGCGGGTGATTGAGGGCTTGTCGGAAGGGATCTCGCGGATGATCTCCACCGACTCGTACTGCCCTCGAATGTAGCCCGGCCGCTCGGCGCACTCGGGATGTATGCACGGCTTCGAGACAATCATGAAGGTTCTAAGCGGTCGCCTCCCGCCTTCCTGTGCGGGAGGGTTGCCGGAAAAGTCGGAAGTCAGGAGCAGAGTGACAAAGTCTCTCGGAGCGGTCGGACCCGGGAATTGCGCCGACAATTGGAAAACTGCAAGCATCATGGTCAGCGAATTTGACGGCCATCATCATTTGCGGCTCGCTCACCTTCCATCTTCCCGGCGCCCTCGACAACCTGGTGGACCACCCGTTTCTCCGCGCCGATTCCACGGATAGCGCCGGCTCCAGGACCCGTCTGAACCTTCATCGACTCGGCAAACTCCTTTTCGAGGCCCAGCTTCCACTTCTCAAACGTGAGGCCATCGTGAACACTGCGCCGCGCGAACCAACTACCCTTGCCGTCCTTGGAGGCGAGCTTATAGACGTTGATGGCGAGCGGGTTGTCCCTGGGGTTCACCTTGACCTCCTTCCACTCCTTGGCCAGGTCACGCGACAGGCTGAGGGAGGCGGCGGACTGGCGCTGCTGGGAAAGACTGCGGTTGATGTCGGCGACGGGTTGAGGCGGATCGGTGTGTGAACGAGCGCGGCCCGTCGTGGCCTGCTTGACGGCAGCGGGGACGGGGATTGAGTCGACTATCGTTTGGGCATCAGAGAAGACACTGGCGAGGAATTCTTTGGGATCCTCCTCTTCGACGGAGGACCATTTTACAGGCGCGAGGCCCTTGAAGGGCTCGTGATGCGGTGCCATTTCGATTGAGGTTGTGGTGACACGTTGGAGGGAAAGTGGGAGAGGCGAATCAAACGCTAGTTGAGGTCGATGTCATAGCCCTGGTCGAGCGACCGAGCGACCGAACAGACCGAAAAATGTTTCGTAGACGGGTTTTCGGAGAGGATGGGAATGCTTCGCGGAATCGCAGATGCTAATGGGAATGCGAAGCAGGTTTGCGTCGGAGTCCGCGAGGTGCCGAGGTGTAGCCGCAAGAGGACGTGGGGTGTTCGCGGCGAAACAAGGTAGATGCTGTACGGTAGCTGCGATGCTTAATTTCTTGAATTCTGTTGATTACTGGGCAAAATGGAGACGATACTTCCAGGACCAAAGAAAGATGCAGACGGGGGAGAGAGAGAGGCAAAGGTAAGCATGTGGCTTAAAAGACGAAGCGAGTACGGGAGCGAGGGAGTCGCGCGGTGCTGGTGCAGTGGCTTGGAAGATCCGTTCGGTTCCCTGCACACGACCACGACACTGACACTGCACGACGTTTTCAAGGGCCGTAAAAGGGATGATACGCAGCAAGGTGGATGGGTTGGATATTTTCGCGGGGGGGCTTTGACGTCTGCAGTACCCCGGGCGGACCTAATGCTCCATGCGCTGTGCTTTTTCGGGTCACGTACTTGGTAGATAGATGGGCGTTGCACCATCTGTCCTGCGGTCGATTTATCTCGATGCTGCCCGTTTCCTGGCTGTTGCAACTTTCACTCCAATCAGTGACCATGGCCGGCGAGTTGGTAAGTCCTCCTTCCCGTTTTCCCGTCTGCCTTGCCTGCCTGCCCTACGCTCTTTCACCGATTGACTTCCCCCAGCGCTGACGTCACCCCTTGTCCCATGTTACAGCGCCGCCCAAGAGGGCATCCGAGAGGGGGGAAGAGGGGTTGCCCCTGCACCGCCCGACGTCACAATTGGTGGTCGCGGGGCCTTCCAAGAGTTCCAGCCCTCAGGGGATCGTAGAAAAATGGAGAAATGGCGCTAGATCGTCTAAAATCCCGCCCAATCCGCGTATTGCACCCGCGGACTCGGCTTCGTTAATTGGGCGCCGCCTCCAACGATGAAGTCAACTGCGGCTCACTCCCCTTCTTCTGCACCACCGTTAGGGAGGGCATCTACGTCGCCCAAGGCCTGTCATCCGACAGACTGGCCTCTCAGAGCCCTGCCTTTCTGCTATCCTTGGACACCATGCGGCATGACTGCACTGGCGGAACGTGGGATGTGGCATTCCTGCTTTTGCTCTTTGCTTTAGTTACGTCGTCGGGCCCGTCCGCTTGGGTCGGGGAGTCCATCGTTCGGGCGGATTGTCCCTGGCAAAGGCACGTGAGGTTATATTCAACTTGAGGTTTCACCGTCTGCCCTTTTTTGATGCCACCTAGCCTGCTTTTTGGGTGATCCGGGGGATCGCATCATGATGAGATAGATCGTAAAGCACCGAGTCCAAGGAGGTGGCCGACATATCCGAGACAAGCTTTCTCTACTGCTAGTCTTGCCATCTGCCACCCTAGCCTCCATTCGGCCTCTGCGGGTGTAAGCGCGACCGCGCCAGTCGGTTCGTGCTCGTCAACTTGACGCAACGTAAGCCTCGTCTTCCCATATGCCATTCCAGAGAAGGCATCACGGATAATGGACAGACCTCCTGGGGGGATTCGCGTTGCCACCCGACTGCCTCGCTCTAGCAAGTAGAGAAATTAAAACGTGTATTTGTATATGTAGCAACGAACGACTGTCCAACAGACACCGAAACAAGAGACTGTGTATACTTCGAGGTATCAAACCACTTCAACCATGACCGCAATGCATCTACAGACCTGCCAAAGAATTTCTCTCGCTCATCAATGCCGCGTGATCTAACTTGCAGCTGCCACAATATGTATCGTACCACTCCCGCAACGTCTCCCTCTTGCCCTCATCAATCTTCGGCGCCATGACCTTCTGGTCGCCGCTCCGTTTGGTCTTGGTCGACTTGTCTGCTTCGAGCACCGTCTTGAGCTTATCGCAACGCACGTTTTCATCAGCTAGCCAGTTCTCCCACTCCGACTGCACCATCTCCCGCTCTATGCTGTTGACGATGCGCATCGCAACCAGGAGATCGTGTCTGTAAGAGCCGAGACGTTGACGTGTCCGACGCAGTCGGCGTGCCGTCGCCCGGCTCGTTGCTGTCGAGAGAGTTGACCCGGCGTCTTCGAACGGAGCGTCCAAATCGGTGGAGTTTGCAACTAATTGGAACGTGGTGAAGCTGTTGTGACTCGTTAGCGGCTGTTGTCGATTTCAGAGGTACAAAACTTACCATGCACTATCAGCGGGCCAGGAACTGTTGTGGCCTACTGCACCCGTTGCCTCGCCCAGATCTGCCATGTAGATGGCCTTGCTCATCATCACGTTTGGCCCAACACCGACGCGGTTCATAAACTTGGCTGCCCGCCTCTCCATCCACCAGTTTGAACTGTCCTTTGACGTCAGGAAGACGTTCGTAAACGTACTTCCTGCCAGTAGAAGAAGGATGAGTCGGTGTGCCGTCACTACGCTGAAGAACTTTTGCACTCCAGCAATCGCCCACATGATGAGCGACGTGACCGCGCTCTCTCCAAAGGAGCGGAGCGTCTCTAGAAGCATGGCCGTCAGTGTGCGCGGCTTGATAAGCTGCTTCTTCGCTGCGTCAGCATCAGCTGGCGAGAACAGCACGACCTGAGTCTGCTGCCCAATGTTTCCGTAAACTTGAATTGCTCTCTTGGTGCGACTGTGAGGGCCCAGTTTGCGGACCTGGTCCGTTGCCACATCCGCCAGCTCTTCGGCGTCGCCCTCGGCATCATTCAGCGCTTGCCGTTCGACCAGATTCTTCGAAAATGCCGGCATCTTAGACCAGTCCACCTTTGTGTAGATCGCGAGCTTGCACTTGGATTTGGCCACATGCGTAATCACCACCTTTGTCACCAACTTGAAGTACTGCGAGTGGGGCAGATGCCATGCCGTCTTGACGTGGGTGACAACGTACGTAACGTGGTCTTGGAACACGTCCATCGTCTGGTGGTCGACGACGTTGACAGTCTTTGGCCGACCAAGCATGTCTTTGTAGTCGAATTTGAACTGAAACTCTCGCCTCATTCGACCGTGGTCTGCGAGAGTCCAGGGACCCTGAGCAATCTGCTGCGCTCTACGCTCAAAATAGAGCTTCGGGAACACAAAGCTCTTGTCTCCAAACAGCACATGGAAGCATGCCTTGGCGCTGATTTCAAAGTGACGCTCAGCAACCTTCCTCTGCATATCTTCGGGCTCGAAGACGACAGGATGTGCGGGCAACTGAAGCTTTGGCGTCTGCTTACTTTGGCCTGATATACGAAGCTTGGGGCCGAATTGACTCTGGCGTCGTGGAGGACGGCCTGAGTGGGTGCCGTCGTCAAACGGGGTGTTGGACGAGATTTCTTCCCAGCTCTCAACGCTTGGGCTTCGCTTGCTATAGTCCTCAAACTCAAGGTTGATGAGAGCAGTAATGAGCTCTGACAGCTCCATGGGTTCCTCTGACTGGAGATCGTCGATGAGGAGGTTCAGTCTAGCATGCAAAAGCTGAAGGTTGTCGAGGAAAACCTTGATTGTGACTCTAGTGTAACCGGTCTCGTTGCCATCTTCTCCCAGGTGGAGGAAGATGAAATCGCACTCCTTTCCGGGCGCCGCTGTAACTTCAGCAATGATGTCGAGACTGACGGCGTATGCCACAACAAGACCCATCTGCTGGCCGTAGAAGTACATGTTGTCAGGCGTGATGTAGATGCGGCCGTTGCCTGCAAGTCCGTGTCCGTTTGATGGCGAGTCTTTGCCAGATGAGCTCGACCAGGCGGCTCGGAACACGAGGACCAACTTCTCGTCGAGAGGGACGGTTGGGAAGAGGATTCGGAACTGGTGGTGCTGAATTCTCAACTCGGGAGGATAGCCCGGGGGGAACGTCTCGACAGGTTGTTTGATCTGAGGATGGGGCTGATTGAACTTGGCGTCGACGCTGACCGTCTTCCTGTGTCCGGTTGTAGGCGTCGAGGGCTTTTCTTCGCCAGGTTTCCCAATTTCTCGAACAATGATTCCAAACGGATTTTCCTCCATCTGCCCAGGCGTCCGGGGTCGCCCAGGACCCGAGCCGTAGACAGTGCTCCATTGACTGCTTCCCCAGTAGTTTGCAAGGACCGCAGTGGGCATGTGGCTTGTGTTGTCACCACCCATGCTCCTGTCGACGGAGAACATGACTGCGGTCCGACTGAGATTGGTCGCAGCTGGTGGTCTCGCCAGCGTCAGTGGAGCCAAAGTACCCTGGGCAGGATCGAAAGAAGCCAGTCTTTGAATGGGTGGTTTCTTGGGCGTGCTCTGAGGAGGCGATGGGTATCCGGGCAGATGACCGTGGCTGGCTATCATGCCTGCAATGCCACCACTGCTTGGGGATGCAGCAGCGGCAACAGCAGCCTCGGCACCAGCCCCAAAGGTCGCTTTGCGGTGAAGATCTAGCTTCTGGATGATCCTCGCAGCATGTTCGCGATTGCTCTCACCATCCTCCCGGACCATTTCCCGCCCAATGTCCCGACCAAGGGCAGTGATGGAACGACGCGGTGCGCCTCCTACATCGAAGCTGGCACGGCCCGCCATGTTGTTGTCGGATCCAGGAACCGGCAGAGTGCCAGCTCTGTCGAAACTGGCGGATGGTTCTTCGCCAGCAACCAACGCATCCAGAGACCTCGCAGAGAACTCGGGCAATGGGGGTGGCGTGATGGAGAACGCTGGATCGGCCCCCGCAGGAGAGAGATTGCTATCTCTATCCATGCTTGCCTCGAAAGCTCGCTTCTTGGCCACCTCGAAGACTTCGAGCCACTCGGTCAGCTGGTTCTGAGTCTCGGCTTGGAGGACCAGTGTCTGGCTCTTGGTCTTGACTTCGAAGCAGAAACGGCGATCTTCTGCCACTGCCGGCTTCGCGTTGCACAACAGGACACCGATTTCGTCGCCTTGCAAAACGCCTTGAGAGCCATTGATCAGCCAGCCAAAGATGCCATCCCGGCAGTAATACCAGCGACGGACCCAGTTGGACCGAGCGGGCTTGCCGTATAGTGTCTTCAAGAAAAGCCAGCCCTGCTTTTCCGAGATAACGGCAGAGTTCTCCTGGGGCTGAACGTTTACCGGGCCCCTGGATCCAAGGAACGGCACAGTGGATGCGCTGTAATCCTCCAGCTCGCGGGATGGCTTGAAAGCCTGCAGAGTGCTCTCCCCGATATCTCGCCTAGCAATCTGAAGCTCGCGTTTGAAGACGAACTCGGACGTCTCCATCTCCCTAGACCAGCCGCGGATGCGTTCCATTTCGGAACCCCATTTTGTCGACACAGAGGCAGCGTCCCGTGACCGTTTCATCTCCTTCCAAAAATCGGCACTTACACGGACGAGCAACTTGTCGAGGCTGAAGCGTACTTGGGGCGCAAGCTGGCAGAAGTCCATCGAGACCTTGAGATACGCTTTGCGGGTTTCGTACACGGCGAAGGCTTCCTCTCGAATGGCAGATGGCTCCTTCGTTTTGGACTGACTCATATAGCGAGCCATGGCCTGGTCGAAATTTCTTTGCGTGTGTTCCAGCACCCTCCGCACCTCCTTGAAGGACCGCAGGTCAGCGGCCACGAACGAGCGGATGGGGTCGACCGAGATGGTGTCAATCTTCCGCACGGTCGACATAATCTGTGTCCACCATTCCTTTGATCCATCGCTAATCCTCCGCAACGCGAGAAGTGTATAATCGTGGTCGATGATGGCATCGGCGGTCGCAGCGGGCGGGAAGATTTTGGAGAGGTAGGTGTTGACCCCTTCTTCGAGAGCCAGGAGGTCGCGTGTCACTTTCGAGGTGGCCTTGACGTAGTCGTCGAGCCATCTTTCCACATTATCAATGTGCTCCCCAAAGTGCTGAGAGGTCGACCGGAAGGTTGGAGAGTCGAGGGAGGCTTCGTTCAGACCGACGGGGATGGCAGGGCTCGATTGCTTCTTGGCCACCGGGGCGGCCGGGGCGGCGGGATCCGCCATCGTCGAGCGGTGGTTACGACGTGCGTTCGTCGCCTGTAACAATATTATCGGTTTCTATGCTGTAGGGAAGGCATGCTCGGTATATCGAAATCGTGGAAAATGCTGCGTGGAAGGGCAAAGGTGTTTGCGAAGTTGTAATGACGTCGGTTGAAGCCGCATGCACTCTGGAGGTGTGCTGTCAACGTCAAGCCTCATCTGAGGTCTCAGGACGGGGACGAGCCAATGAAACCGCGTATTCGTCGTATCCGGGGGGCAACTGGGGGCTAATCTGCCCAGCCTTGCCGCTGTGATTTACTGGCCGGTCCACTGTAATCTCGGCCGAGTTGCCCCGCGACACGCTGAAGCCACAGCTCATTTGGCGCTCGACTTTAGCTCAGGCCCGGTGAAGAGAAAATGGCCCAAGCTCCTCGTTAGTGCCATTGCCGTTGACAGCAACGCCGGCTGTCTCCTGCCCCAGATCTCCAACTCACATCATCCCCGTCGTCCTCCAAGTATTCTCGACCTGGAACCTCTCAACAGCTCACCATCCATCCCACCGTGCTGTTTTGCTTGTCTGTCTTGTCCCAGAATAACAAGCTTCCAACATACTTTCGAGCTCCCCAAAGTCTCAATGCGCTGCTCTTCCCGTTGACCGAAGCCTTACGGAGTTCGGCAAATGCAAAGATGAGCCTGGCTTTTTGGCTCTTTCGGATTTTTCCATTGGGCTACCACAGCTTGGAGGACCTTATTTGGATTACACCTCGATCTTGAAGCCAGTGCCAGCTGACTGCAGACTTGGTTCGAATTACGCCTCGAGGGGGAAAAATTTACTCGGTCTCGACTGCAACCGCCTTCTCCAATGATCGCGATCGCTTTCCTTGTCGACAGGCTCTGCTTGTCCTGCTCTCAAATGAGCATCCCGCTTGGAGTCTGCCATGCATGTATCCACCGGTTAGCCATCGCGAGAGGCAGACGGACGCAAATGGAGACACGCGGACAGAAACGAAGATAAACTCATTTGCGGAGACGGAGACAAAGCTGTGGCAGCATTGAGTCATTGATGCAGCTTCACGCTCAATAAGTGATGTCGCATATTGAAGCTCAACAACGACTCGAGCTCCTCAACCATCAGTTCGAAACACGGGGCTATCATGACTGGCTGGGACGTCGTTACCACGACACACGCACACGCAAGAACACACAATCGCAATACGCATCCTACCCCAGACGTCAGGCTTGTTTCTGCACCAAGCTTGGTCTGGGGGGCATCTCTGGTGAAACAAATGCCATCATCGACGTTGGGAAACACAACCATGGTGATGGCATCATGCTGGCCACAACTGGTATCGATTGTCGCCAAAAGTGCTTCTGGATCCCTTCGAAGCCGCGTGGCTGTCGCCAACGGCCCGTATGGTGTCCTGTGCCAACGAGGAGGGTCGAATCAATGCCAAAATGCCGACCATCAACGAGTCAACGGCGTTTGTTTTGCGGGCAGCACAGCCCCTCAGCCCCTCCCGTGTGTGGCCTCCCTTATGCAGAATCAAGACCCGGGAGGTCCTTGTGCTCGACCACTGACAAGCAATCGGTTCGAAGCGATCAGCGGGCCCTATGCATCGGTAGCAGCACATTTCAGCTGCTCAAGGGCCGAAAACCACCCAACCACGGGCCTCCCGTATTCGGCCCATGTCCCCTGACTTGTGCATCTGCTAGCACGACGGTTGTTCTCGGGAGACATTCGATACACTCGCATTTTGCGAATCGTCTTCTCGGGCTGCCCCCCATCACCAGCCTCCCGGCTCTGCGCCACACGCGGATCTTCGCTGGTGGGGTTTTCGCCGCACCGTTTCTCCCCTAGACCGGCAGTCCCTGTTCTTTTTTTGGACACTCTCCGGAGCTGCGAGATCTGGGGAAACCCTACGAAAATCGGTTTTCGGTATCACCATTCTCACCGGAGGAGCAGACACGCAATCGCATTCGACTTCGAGAAAGGACCGCCCTGCTTGTCTACATGCTTGTTCCTCCGGGAGCTGTCACTAAGCATCCAGTCCGTGCCATGGCATCTGTGAAAGGCGTTGCAATCTGGCTCAGACGTAGCAGGAGCTTAGTTGGTGGCGAGTATCGATACAAGATGCTTTCGAGGCAAGGAATGCCTTTCTTTCGAATACCCGTCCAAAACGAACCGTCCCGCTCGCATGCTTGGCTCAAGCTCGCCATGCTATTTTGAACACCAGCATGAATCGGCTAGGCACGCGCTCTCGAATGGTCGAGTCGTCGCTGTCGCTCTCGGTCACGATGGCAATGCTCTGGCCTCGACCTGCATGCGACGCATAGAAAGCAGTGATGGACGGGGCTCGCTGCGAGATGAAGACGAATGAAGCGATGAAGATGCCGTCCTGCAGATGGTAGTTTCGAATGAGAAGAATCCCTATGGACGCCTTTCAAGTCGGCGCCCGCTGCCAAAAACCAAGGGATCTGCTCCCGCACAACCGTGCGGCCAGTCAAGGTTTGCGGGTCGCGCACCCAGCCACTAGGGCAAGGATCTGCCTTGAAATGCGGCGACACCGGAAACGACACTGCCTGTGAAGCTTGGCGTGGTGCAATCCGAACTGATGCCGTTGGCCTTCCTGTTTCTTCACCGGCTCGATGGCAGGGGGGCGGGACACTCTGAGCGGTGACAGAACGGACGCAGGCCGGCGGCTGTACTCATGTGACCTGACTGTAACAGAGTCAAGTGACAGCACCTGTGGTCACGAGCCTCGGGAGGCTGGAGGACAGTGGCTGTTGTCAATCGCCCACTCTTGCGGATGCGGCAAACGGCGGTCTTGCTCAGGCGACAGGCGATGCCGCGCGCGGGGGCCAAAAATAGGGCAGACAGTCAGCAGACCTGCCGCCACGGCGCAAGACCGGCACTCAAGCGAGACTCCACTGCACTGGCTTGTCCGACTCCACGACGTTCCGTTTGTCGCCCTCTCCCGCGTCTAAGGCCGAACAACCGCCGCTCGCCCAGGGGAGCACTCACCTCCGTCCAAGGTGTTATCGAAAGCCCACCCTCCCACCGCAATGCCGACACCGGTCCCAGAAGCGCCAGCTACCGGTTTGATGGTATCCTGGATGCGCAAGGGTTGGATTCTTCAACCCACTCACGAAAAAGAGTCATCGTTCGCCACCGCAGGACGGAGCAATATGTCGGGATGTAATTACCACCTCGACAGCGACGATGTGGTCCCTGCTTGCTTTCCGGATCTGTTTCTGAGCCGTGTCCCCTTGTTTAGTCAACCGGAACTGGGCCAGCAGCTCAATGACTCGATTGGACCGCGGATTAATTGGTGAAAGGTCTCAACCCGCTTCTGAAGAGGTTCGAGAACGGTTGTTTCTGCAGCCGGGCACCCGCGAACGGGACAGGCCCGTCCCCAATCTGGCAATCTGGGTATGTAACCATGTCGAGATGCCCTTGACCATGCTGCGTCTCTGACCCCTTATCCCGGGGCAATGTTGCTCCTTTTTGTGCCATTAACGCGGTTGCTATTGCTCAACGGTCACTACTCATAGGGATCCCTTGGGTCTTTGGACTCTGCTCGTCTCTGCTCATCGTGGGCTCTCGCGGTCTCTGAGCCATGATTGGTCAAATATCATTGAGGAATTCCAGCATTTCTTGCCAATCATCATCAGGCGCTCGGCCGTTTTCCGCCTAGACCCACATAGCCCGAATCTGACCCTCAGCTCAGCAACCAATGAGACTCCAAGGACCAGGTTTTTCGCAGACACACCTCAGCTCACCTTCCGCCGCTAGCAAGGGCCTCGATCTTGTCACAAGCCATCTACAGGCTGTCGTTGCTCGACACCTTCACCCTCAACCGACCACCCTCACTCCACAGTGCCTTTGCAGCCCGTTCCATTTTGACGGGCCAACCCCCTTTGGCTCGGCGTCCATGCGAAGTTCGAAGGAATAAGGGGAGCCCACGCTTTCGGAAACGCTCTCGACGCCAGTTCTCAGATGGAATGCCAATGCTGCCGCTGCCGTACGCCGCGCCATCTGGTCTGATGTTCTATCCCAGGCGGAGTCCCGGCCGGGACTCCAGCGAAGGAAGTTTAGTGTTGGTTCTTCTGGCGGTTCTCTCTGCGGGCTCATGGCCCGCTCCAATCACCATGTTGCCCTGAGTCTCGAGGAATTTGAGCCGGTCCATGGACTACGACTCTACGCTCCAAAAAGAGTCCAAGCTGCAGATGGACATGTCCATTCAAGTACAGATATGGCCAATGTAGATTATTGGGGCTACCCGCCGTCACGGCCGCGCCTGCGTCGTTTCAAGACGATCTCCTGTTGGAACCGACATGATGCAGGGAGACGAGCAGAAGTGTCCTGTACGCACATGCAAGTCATACGGCTCTAACGTGCCAGAGACTCTTGACTTCAACTACATGACTGGATAGGAAGACGAGTCGGCGAGATGAAGATGACCGAATCTCAAGTCCCTCATCTCCGGGATGGTCACAGCTACGCCAGAGACTCAGCCGTTAGTCGACTAACGCAACGCAATGACGGTCCCATCGCGACGACGGCCTACAGGACAGGTTGATGGTGGCAAAAGTTTCACTGGCAAAAGACAAGCCGTCAGACCGGATCATCGAGGCTGGACGGATTTGGCCAGCTGCATAAGCGCAACTATCTTGTGGTACTCTTGGATGGTTTTCTAGCGGCGGACAAGTCTAGAGGCTTTTGGTCTCTTATGCACACCTACCTGCATGCGACGGCACAACATGCGGAGCCATTTTGGGTCGCAGCGAGCCAAGCAGGACCTGCGTGAGACTGTGTGATTGATCACGATTGGACGGGGCGCGCCAATCATGGTCGTCTTTTTGCGAAAAATCTACGAAGGAGGCCATGCACGTTGGCCAGATCTGATACTGGGCGACAGGACTGTGGCGGGCACTCCCAAGGGACAAGCGTGTAAATGATCACGACGCTGTGTAATATTTGGGATATGATATATCGCAAAAGACGTTGGAAAGTACTCATGGCCGGAACAATTTGCAATCCCGCGGAAGGCTAATGAGGGCCCCGAAGAAGGCCCAGTGGGCAGTTGTGGTCGCAGGGTCGTAGTAGTAATGTCAGACGAAGCGCCAGGCGCTGCGTCAATGTCGTCGTTGCAAAGTCGCCTCTTCTTTCCCCCACTTTGACACACCCCTGAGCTTTTGCTTTTTGGAGGGGTGGACTGGCAGCTGGTGCCCTGGGGCACACCCTGTGGCTTGATTGCAAGGGTCTGCCTCTTCTTTTGAGAAATACATGTGAAAGGAGACGTTGTGGGTTACCGACGAGCAGGGGTAGACCTTCTTTGGGGAAGAAACGTTCCTCTTACAGCAGTGACAAGTCTCGGTTTGTTTCTTTTTGCAACCCCAGGGTCGGCCGGGCTTGAAGTTGTGCGACTACAACAACGACGCCGTCGTTGGGCCGGGAGGTTGTCTCTGTCCGGGCCTGTCTCTAGCCGGAGAGACACAGGTTCAGACTCAGACTTTGGGGCGAGGAGTTTCTCGTCGAATTTATCAAATCAGGGCAATTGGCCGTGGCTTCTTGATGCAACAGCGCACACGGAGAGACACGAAAGTATGGCAAAGGGTGTATACGGAGATGCGCACCCTATATCGTCGATATTGCATCGCCTTCGAGCGGCGGCAATCAAGATGCGATGACGGCAACTTGTAAGCGAACGGGATCCGAGGGGGCGGGCCAGGTCAGCACGATAAGGCAAGGCAACTTAACACAGAGTCGGCGAGGGACCAAGAGGAGCAAGGCATTCGTCGAGCTTGCTCTTACACGGCGCCGTGATACGACTACGACTGCGACTTACTTTCCTTGAACGGAAATTGCCATTGAGCGCGCAGCTGTGCCTCAACTTTCTCGTGGCTGTTCTCCGCACAGGCCGTGGGGCATTGCAGGAAGAGACGAGTTCAACTTGCAACGACATTCCCTCTAAGAGTGAGGCGCACGGCTGGTCGAGGTTTGGGCCGCCTGAGCCTCTCTTCAGCTTGGGAGGCCGCATCGACAGCACATCACATTCGGGCATGACGTTGAATTTCCTAGGCCCGAATAAAAAATCGCCATGCCTCGGAGGGCTTGACAGGTCTCCAAATGGGCCACAGACCACGCCCCAAAGCCAGCTGGACAGGAAAACCACAGACTCTAGAGTCAAGGCTGCGCAGACGAAATAAACACGGACTCTAAAAAAGTACAGACCAAAAAGATACGTACTTGGTCTGGCGACGGCGGCGACGGCAAGCTTGCGCTTGCATCTGCAATGGCATCGGTCGTTCAGCTGGGATTCTGCGGGCTCCGACGGCTCCCATTCGCCTGACCTCTCGGATTCTGTCATTCAGCATATGCAGGTCGCAGCACAGCCCTCGCCTTCGCATCCGTCTGTTTTTATTTTTTTTCTCTTGCTCGTCAACCAACGCGCACTACCTGCTGGGTACTCTGTAGTCGTTTCTCGCAGACGCCGGAAGCACCTTTTTAGACTCTTTTTTAGAGTGTGGTGTACGGTACTTTCTGATCCCAGGAAGACGGGACAAGTCCCAAAGTTCGCCTGTTTGGAGCATCTCGCCGCGCGCGCCCGTCTGCCGAAACTGCCGCGGGGTCGCTTCGCTAGAGGCCGGGGTCGGGGCCGAGGGCAGCAATACGGACGGCAAAAAAGTAAGGCGAAGGAGGGCGACCGCAACATACCTTGCAACAACTGAGTACGTTCCGCACAGGGGACACGGTTTCTCGGTCTATGATGCAGAACCCAAGTCTGTTCAAGCCCAAAGACCGATCTACCGGAGCGCTGCGGCAGCCCGCGTACTCAGATCCATACAGATGCCGTCGTTTATCTCTTGCTAGACTAGACCTCACCTAGCAATTGCTAGTTTCTCCCGGGGTCGCCATGGATGACGGCGCACCTCTGTCATGTTGGTTTTGGTGCCCACACGTCCATCTCTCTTGATTTCCCCCTTCTGTCGCTTGCTGGCTTCCGGGCAGGCTTACCCTTAGCCACTGCTAGCAGGTAGTTTTTGACTTCCAAGGCTCTTCCCGTCACTCCTGTCTCTCTCTGGGACTTGGAACGTGTTGTGGCGCGCGCCGCACGAAGCAAGCCAGCCCACCACGCACACATCTCACACAACGCACGCCAGACAGACGTTCGCCTTTGCTTAGTGCAGACGGGCTAGACCGTTGCGGGACACATTTTCTACAAACTTACGTTGGTTGGAAAGAAACGAATGAAAGAAGAAATAAAGGTAACCGTCGGGCGTCGCTGAGATGGTTCCGGCTCAACGGGCAACTACAGCTAACGACGGTTTGCCTCAGTCAGCACCTCGACCTGGCCATCCAGTGAACCTTGCTGTACGAGTCCACCAACTCGCGATTAAGCTCACTGCAGGACGGGCAGTCAAGGAGACTCGGGAAGTATGGAGTACAGTAAGATAAGGGGCCTCAGCTTGGCCGTCGACCTACCTAGTTCAAGCTGCTGCTTACTCTGGGTGCTGAACCTTGCCTGAGGTTGAAGCTGTCCAAGTCGATGTCGATGTACCTTCGTCAGCCGGGAGAGGGATCTGCTGCGTATGGCGTGTATGCAAGCGCCAAGGGGCCTGGGGTGTTTGCCTGGGTTGGTTAATGCAGCCGAAAGACAGGCAATCCCGAGAGGCAGGGAGTCGGAGGAGGAAGGAGAAGAGGCGCTGCTGAACCGAGGTGGGCTCGCTGGCGTCTGGCGTGAGCTATGAGACGATGGCGACTGAGAGTCGACGTGGTCGCATGGAGAATGTCAAGAATCAAGGCGAGGGCGAATTTTTTTTTTCGGTCCTGGTTCTCGACGGACTCAGGGCTGGCTCAGGTCAATGCCTGTTGGAGTCCTCCAAGCCGCAGATACAGGACGGTGCCCGACTGGATGTTTTGCTGCATGTTAGTCATGGGCCGTTGGGCGCCGGGGACTGGACATGGAAAGTGGCCATGGACAACACCCCGGGACACGACGCTGAACCGGCGCAAGAGACCAGCGCCAGCGCCAGCAGACGAGGCCAGCTTCCAGCTCGCAACCCGGACAGCATGGAGCCGGGACTATCAAGATCCAGTCTGGGTGCAGTATTCTCTCCATGGATGGAGTAGGCTGGCGGATAGTGTGCAATGCCGGGTGAGGCGAGAGGCGTAGAACGGAGACCTGACCTGGCAGGCAGCCCAGTCCAGGACGCAGGACGCATGCACTGCGCAAGATGGCAATGGGACGCCGTCCTCAGGCTAAAGTCCCTATGGAAAGTGACGGCACAGAGAGGGCCTAGGAAAGAGAAATCTGCCTCCCATGGTGGGTAGGTAGGTACCTAAGGTAACCTATAGCAGGCCAACCCTAGCGGCTTAGGGAGATCCGATGCTACTGCACAGAGCAGTGCGCTGCCCCCGCCGGCGTGCATCATCCATGGATCCTCGTCGTTCCCGCGTCCAGTTCAGTGTGCAGTGAGGGAGGAGGTTCAGGTCTTCCGCTCCTGAGAGGGACGACCGGGAGACTCCACTTGCTCCTCTAGGCCCCCCTCCACCTTTTTTTTTTTTCCCTCTCTCTCTTTTTTTTTTTTTTTTTTTTTTTCTTGCGCTGCTGCGGGCTCCTTGCACCTTGCTCCTTGCGCCGCCTGTACCGCAGTACCTGCCACACCCCCCTCACTCCCCTCCCTCCCCCCCCCCTCTTCCCTACCTTGGTACCCTCCTCTCTCTTGCGCCTTCCTCGCCGTGACATGTCCCTAGGTTCCTACCTAGTAAGGTAGTAGGCAGGCAGGCAGGTACCGCAGTACCTCCAACCGCAGCAGCTGCAGGTGCAGCCACCAACACCTGCTCCCACTGACAGCGACGTACAGCGACAGGCCCCCAGATCCAAAGCCCCAGGTCTGCCCTGGAGTCGAGGGAAACGACAGCTCGGCCGATTACTATAACACCCCACCACCCTCGCACCACCACTTTCACCTCTCACCCTCCTCTTCCCTCCTCACGAGCTCTTCGTCCACCGTTCTCTTCTTCTTATTCGCGGCAGCAGGCGTGCAAGCCAAAATATCCCACACGACGTCAAATTCCGAGGGACCGCCCAGCTCCGTCATATCCTCTTGTTTCCTTTATTATTCCTTTTCCCCCCTCCCCGAATATCCCCAGATTTCATAAGGGCACCTAGCACACATCAAGACATATCACACAAAGATCGATACCCTCCCATATCAAGACCAAAGAACTACCGGATACCTCCCAGGGCCCGCCATATCTACGACACATCTTGCCGCCACGCTTCCTCGATTGGAATATCCTCACACCTCCACCGCCAACATGCCCGTCCAACTGCTGCCAGCCTCTGCGGCGGCTTTTGCCCCCAGAGCCTCATCAGTCAACGTCGTGCTTGGCTCCAAGGTCGAGCCGTGGTTGACCCAGACCCTCAAGCGCATCAACAGGATCAAGCGTCCCCTCAACAGCGTCCCCCAACACCAAAGGTGTCTGACCGAGACCCTCTCCTCCCCGAACGCCATCTGGACCCTCACCTCCATCATGCTCCCCAAGGCCCCGGAATCCGAGCTGCGCCAGGACTCCAACCCTCTTGTCGAGGCCGTCTTCAACTACCAGCTCCTTCACATCGAGGCTTACATCGTCCACGTCGACATGGTCCTGCGCAACGAGGTCGCCTTCAAGTTGACCACCGACTCAATAGAGGCTCTCGTCGAGTACCACAAGGAAATCCACTGTGTCGACAGCAAGGCCAAGACATACGACTGGTCTGAGAAGGACCAGCAGTGCAAAAAGATGCACGACGACTTCGTCCAGGCCATCAACAAGTTTGTCTTCAGGACGCACGTTTCCGCCTTGGAGGGTCTCGAGGAGGATGGTGCTGGCGAGCTGCTCTCCGGTAAGAGCGAGGAGGTCAAGAACAACATCATGGGCCTGATGAAGCCCCTGCTTCCCCCTCCGCCCCGTGTTGTCGATGTCATCAGACAGCCTCCCCTGCTGCCCAGCTCGCCCGCCAACGCCAGCATGTGGTCGCAGCCCACCACCCCGGCCAGCCTTGCCGCCGTCGACGCTTGGAGGGTGCTGCCCTCAAGCCCGAGTGTCACCTCTCAGGACTCAACACCCATCTGGGCCAACATCGGCATGAGTGAGGTCCAAATACCCTCACCAACCCCGTCCTACAGCCAGCCCTTCTCCACCGCCGGCTTCTTCTACAGCTCGCCAGGCATCACCGCGCCCATCCCTGCGTTGCCCCTCCCCAGCATGTTCACCCCGCAATGCGGCGTGAGCATCGGCTACGGCGGCTTCGGCTGGGATCGCTACCAGGAGTACACGACGACGATGTGACAACCAGCGCCCCCCGTCACTGCTGATAGCTACCCCGTCGTCACGACCTCATAGCATTGCCTGGCACGTTTGTCCATGTTTCCCGGCGAAAAGTTGAAGTCCTCTCGATCTGCTCGGCATAGAACCATCACTCAAGGCATCTCGGCGTTTTGCATCAACAGGAAGGGGGAGCGAACGGTGTTACGGAAACTCGCGCGCAAGATCAACCAACTCAACAAAAAGATATAATCTCGGTTTTCCTTTGTCGGCAGCAAGCGAGCGTTTGATTTTTTACTACTGTGTCTTTTCGATATCCGGGGAACAACAACCACCACTCACTACGCCGCAAGCTCGGTCACCTTTCATTCGAAAACCATCTCACATCATGGCTGGGTCCGGGGCGGGCATTTGAGTGCATTTACATTTGGGGGGGGTTCTCGAAATACGGCGGCTTGTGTCTCTTTTCCCTTTTTCTCATTTTCCTTTGGGTCTTCTCCAACTAAATAAGAGGAACACGCAGCAATGCAACCCCCCACCGCTCGGCTCCAGGCCTGGAGCCGAGACAGAAGAAACCGACACACACAAACCTTGGATTCTCGATTCCCCCGTTCTGGATTTTCCGTTTGTTTCTATTTTCATTGGTTCAAGAGGCTTTCTTAGAGATACCCCCATCGGCATTACACTGGGTCGGAAGATACCATTACCGCTGCGCATCTGCTTTCTTTCATTTCCTTGGCTTGGGTTTCCTGTCTTACGGATGATTTACGACGACTCTTTCACGACCAATGACGAATATTCACGACTGCGCGACTAACGATACGAATCAAGACGACGTTGCTTACCCGGGCTAGACGCCACGACACGCGGCTCTCTTGTTTTTCTTCGATTCGCAAAGACTATTCGGTTTTTTCGGTTTTGACGGCGAAGACTTGCAACCCGGACTGGATCCAATAATGGCAACGTTTCTCGCGCGGAAGGGTCGATTTCGCAACACAATCATCGCGTAGCCGAGACTTGGCTGTATCTGAGATACAGCCGTCGAAGCGGACACTGGCTTGTCGACAGGGTCCTCGCTGCTGCCTTCCCCGCATTTGGGGGGTTGGCTGACACGGAAGTGGAGGAGAGATGGGACAAATCAACAAAAAACCAAAGAAGCTGGGCATCACAAACGAGAGTTTCCTGCCGGACAGGGACACATGGTGCAAAGCCCTCTTGTGCCATAGCCTCGGAATCTGCTCTCCACGACAGCACTCTCCCCCGCCCGATGTGGCGCGGGGCCGACGAACCCGACTACCCAGACCACACTGATTACCCCACGCGGACGCCAAGTACGGCATGGCGGATTCCCGCTAGACGGGACCGACGATGAACGGAAAGGATGCGCCGGGATGGGGGTCAAAGTGTGCAAGTCTGGGGTCAAGGGGGGTCGCGCCCTGTGAGCAGCTTCGGGTCAGGGGGGTTTGTGGTCGGGGGACGGTGAGAACAGGCGACATGCTGCTCGCCCTCACGCATGGCCTCCCCGCCAACCGATGGGTAGACACTACTCGGGAGAGAGCATAAGAGTGCTCGAGGCAGGGATGGGAAAGCCGCATGGGAGACTCTTAAGGTGTGTGCGATCCGCTGCGCGGATCTCGACATGCTCAAGCTCCCCCAGGAACAAGATTCTGCGGCAGAGGTGCGCTGGGAAACTTTTTTGAGAGGAAGGGGAATATAGGCGACGAGGCGGACCCTGGAGGTTTTCGGCCCGGGCCTGGATAACACTGCTCAATGGTTTTATTTGATTGCATTTTTACGTTATTAGTTAATTCGAACAAGATTTTGTTCACCAACTTGCCGGTGTCTCGTATGCGCGCTTATGTGAGGGTGACTGATGGGAGACGCATGGAGAGGACAAGACCCTGAACCTGACTTGGGCGAAGGAAAACAAAAGTTGGGATGCTTGCATGTTCACGCATTGTTGGGAAATCGGGACAAGATCTGCCCCTCCAAATGCATTGCATCTTCAGCTTTCTCAGCTTTTGGGGGAGACCTAGGGGGGGAGGGGGGCACGGGTTGCGTTGGCCAAGGTGGTGTTCTACCCCAAAGGGCCCGCCCCTCTATTTTGGGCATCAACGGAAAGAAGGAGGGTTCTGACAAGCACAGCTGGGGTAAGGCAAAGGTTCAGACTTTTGTGAAAAGTTTGTCGTCGTCGAGATGCATGCATGCATGCATGCAGACGGGCACGCACGATGAGAGGGCAGAAAAAGAGGAAAAGAAAATTAAGGGTCCCGGAAACCGGCCTGTCGGTCGGTCGGTCGAGTCGGGTGGCGAAGGTTGCGATGAGTAGTCAGGAGAGCATCAGCATTTTCAAGTCAGCACTCTGCATGCAAGGCATGACGGTGGAAAAGCAAAATATGCGGTTAGGAGCTTGGCCTTGGGCTGGGCGGATGATGGTCACGGGCGGGCGTGGGAGTGTCCAAGACTGAAGACGAAGGAGAAAATGCCAAGTATGCCATCGCAACGACTGCTACCTGTCAGGCAGCAAGCAAGAAGAGAGAGAAAAAATACGAATGCCATCCTTGGCGATGCGTTGAAGCTATATCGACCGCTGCCGATTTCCTAAATAGGTATCTGGCCGTCACGATTCCAAGACAGATCGTGTAAGTGGTCTAGATGGAGGGCTGTAGAGCTAGATTCCTGCTGCCCACCACACCCCTTGGCCTCTTAGCCTTAAAAAACTTGTGAGAAAAACGAAGAACAACAAAAAAGGTGGGCGGGCTGTAACAGAGACAGCCGACCGACACCAGACATTGCTCACACACGGACAAGACACGCGAACGCTGGCGCGAGAACTCAAGAAGGGGGGGTTTTAACATGAGGCGGAAGTTCTAGAAGGCCGGGTTCATGGATCGATGCGTCCGTCGGTCGGGTACTGCGCGGTCGGGTGGTGGTGACACTGGCCAGAAAAGTCTGAGCGGGCCTTGTGCTGATGGTCTGCCAACACGACTGCCTGCCTGTCTGCTGCCCGCCCCGGGACGCGGTGCGTTTGCTGTATCGTCGGTGTGGTGGTAGGAACAACCCAAAGGACGAGGCAGGGCAGAGCCGGCTTACACGTTGCGCGAGGAGTGACGGCTCCGTGTGTAACATGCACACCACATTTCCATCCCACAGTCCCCCCACCATCGCCCAGAACACGGACCAACTGCTACTTTGCCAAAAAGTCGGCCCTTCGCCCGTGAGGGGTGCTGGTTTGGCTGCCGCTCACTCGCACGGACGGTAACGTCTGAACGCCGGGGCAATTCTAGTCCTGTCGAGCAGGCAAGACAGATGTAACGGCGGCCAGATGGGTTCAACCGGTCCCCGAGTCCAGGCCAGAGGTTTCCGGATATCGTTTCGCGAGACGCGAGAGGCACGATGAGACCCAAGGGCAGCGAGCTGCAAGCACCTCGGGCTCGGTAACCATGATTTACCTATCTGCCAGGCAGCGGCTGTTGAGAAAAAAAGAAACAAAAATCCTAAAAGCCAGGCTTCCCTTATTTGATATATAGAATTTGGGTTGGCAGCTATCACGTTTGATGGGGGGAAAGGGTCGGGCGGAGGGAGGGTGGTTGGTGCTCCATGGTTACTGGGCATGGCACCATCCGGCGCTGGACTGTTTGAGGCTTCGCGGAAGTGTGAGTTACGCGTCCTGGGGTAGAGCGCGTTGAGAGTAACGTCGCATGGGCGTTTGTAGGGGTCGTGTTGGAGGCCAAAGTTTGAGCTGAAGAGCTTTTTTTTTTTTTTTTCTTCTCCAGAAGGGCTAAACAGCGCAACGGGCTTCCAAGGGTTTGGGCATTTTGACTTTGCTCCTGAGAGTTGTAGTAGTAAGAACCCAGCTCGAGCGTTTTGCAGCTTTGCATCTAGCCTTGCGCGGCGCATGAAGCGTTACATGGAGGCTACGGGCTCGCTGTGCGCATAATCAGAAGGGGGGAAGTTTGCTCTGCGTGTGGATTCAACTTTTTGTTTCTCGTATTTGGGCGTGACAGACCGATGCCGGCCAGCAGGAACTTTGCAAATGGGCAGAAATGCGATTGTGAGCCTAACTTTGCAATGCCCACATCTAGATCTTCGTGCCAACAGATACTCGTCTCCCGTGTGTCGGCATTCGGAGACGGACAAAAACGATGTCACAGAAGCAAAGAAGCGTGTGCCAGACACTCGATCCCTGCCTTGCAAGGAGACACTGAGAGGCAGGGAGGGTGTGGCTTGCCACTCACAGCTGGCAGGGATGAGAGCCTGAAATGCGGCTGAGCATCCCAAAGAGGATGGTGGGGATCGCCTCTGCCGTCTGTGCCCCCCCCCCCGGCTCGAGTACGTACCCATCCCGGATTGGCGCTCGGTGGCTGCCGCGGAGCCGGGGGGTTGAGGGGCTCTGAGGCGGTGCAGCTGCTCCGGTACCGTCGCACTTTGAAACGAAACATTTTGTGGGGAGAGAAGATCGTGGTGCGGAGACGCTTCGCGCCCGTATTGGTCGAGATACGAAACCGGGGCCTCTCTCCGGAAGGAGCTCCGGAGGGGACAGCCGTTGGCACCGCTGCCACTTCTGCCACTCCCGAAAAGGGGGGGAGGAGACCCGCGGATGTGACCGAGACTCAATTCCGCCCTGACGCCTTTTGTACTCTGATTGGTCTGCGGGAACGAGCGACGAGATCTGACGTGGTTTGGCGAGGGGATCGTGTGGGAAAAGGGATTGGACACCCGTTGGAGGGGATCAGCGGCGCCGAGTTTGGGGTCCGTTGAAGATGAGTCGGTTCAGCGGCCACGTCCCAGAGGGGTTTGACAGGTCGGATGGGAACTCTGGCCTGGTGTTTGTGTGAAAAGGGCACACGCTGCATATTCTAGGTAGCAGCTACTTGGACGCACGATATGCGCCTAGCCACTATGGGAGGATATCGCCCGACCTGCACTGTGGCTGCTTAGTTAACATTTAGCACCAAATATGCGATCCCAACGGTGCAGTCGGCCGAGTTGGTGCTTGCAGTATACAAGTTGGACTCGCCGTC